ATTCATTTGTCCCCCATGTGACTTCTTTACTTTGGTGCCTGTACTGCCGGTGTCCGCCCTTTTCCGCTGGCCATGCATCATTTCTATTCATTTGTCTCCCATGTGACTTCTTTACTTTTGTCTCCCAGGTTCGGTGCCTTCACTGCTGGTGTCCACCCTTTTCTTTCTCAATGCTTTCTAAGGGTGTCCCCCTTGCTGCGGGACAGCGTGTCCGTCTTTGCGTCCGGCTTGTCACCCTCTGTCTCCCTTCTTGTTGGTCATTGTGTCCGCCTTGCCTCCCTTCTGTCTCCCTTTGTCTCCGGTCTTGTCTCCTTCTTGTTGGTCACTGTGTCCACCTTGTCTCCCTTCTGTGTCCGTTTGTCTCCCTTCTTGTTCCGCAGTGCCAACCTCTGCCTTGCAATCCTTTCCATGTGTCGGAATCTCCCAGCTCCGGACCACTGTGTCCGCCTCTCGCTTGCAATCCTTGACATTTGTCTCCCAGCTTTGGGCTGCTGTGTCCGCCTTTGCCTTGCAATCCTTTACATGTGCCTCCCAACTCTGGACTCCTCTCTCCCCCTCTCGCTTGCAACCCTTCACAATTGTCTCCCAGCTCTGGACTGCTCTGCTCTGCAATCCTTTACATTTGTCTCCCAGCTCTGGGCTGCGTCTCGCTTGCAATCCTTTACATTTGTCTCCCTGTGTCTACATTTGTCTCCCAGCTCTGTACTGCTGTGTCCGCCTCTGCCTTGCAATCCTTTACATTTGTCTCCCAGTGCTGGGCTGCTGTGTCCGCCTCTGACTTGCAATCCTTAAATTTACATTTCTCTCCCAGCTCTGACTGCTGTGCAATCCTTTGCATTTGTCCTTGCAATCCTTTGCCTTTGTCTCCCAGCTCTAGACTCTAGACTGCTGTATCCGCCTCTGCCTTGCAATCGTTTATTTGTCTCCCGGCTCTGGGCGTCGCAAGCTCTGGTTGCAGAGTGTTTCGATGTTGAAAAACACACACTGTTTGGAGTCTACGGTGGTGTAATTTTGTGATGCGATGTATTTGATGCGTTGGAGATTTGTGTTTTTTGACTTGGAACTTGAGGTTTTGGTTCTTGTGGTCTTTCCCAAATTCAATCAGAGTGGACATGGAACACTCATTGACATGATCTTCCTCCCTTCGTCTGTGCAGGAGAAGCTTCTCGCATCCTCATTCACAAGCAGAGGTGAATCAGCAAACCTGGCAATCTTTGAACCAGAATTTGGCCCATTTGTCCTAGCGCCGCACGAAAAAAACTTCTTTAATCCTGCTTGGGACTGCGATTTTCTTTGGCAGTTCCAAATTGCAGAGGAGGTCAAACACTGATGCCTGGTCAGCTCGCTTTGTTTTAAAGTCAGTTTTGCCATGTGGCTCTGTGGCCTACGAAACACGCGCTGCTTACGAACGACTGACCGTCGTCTGGAAGGAATGATTCGTCAGCTGGAAAGAATGGAGCTCGGTCCTTCCGAACGTCTGCCGGGTTTGAAACACCTCTGCCGGGGTTCAAAGAGTCCAAGTGACGCAGAAGCCTTTTTTCACAATAGCTACCCGTCAAAGAGAACATGCAAAAGACACAAAGCATAAGAGTATAATATATATATACACATGCGCATGTCTGGGTGTCGGGTTCATAAATGAGCTGAAGAGATCGGTCAGACCGGCAAAAAATAGGCAGGGGTCAGTACGGTAGGACCGGTAGTCTTAGAAGATTCATGAAGATTCATATAGAATCAATGGTGAAGGCACCTTCGGATCCTGTACTGTAGACTCTTGAGGACCATAAACTACTAGTTTGAATTGGACATCCTTTTCGTATGGGGGTTTATTTGTCAAGAGTCTGCATTACTTTAGACGGAGCAAATGAATGACTTGACTGAGTTGACTGCAGTCGACCGTAGGCAGACCTTCGTAGGTAACACCTGGAATGACTCGATGACGCCTGTGATGCTTTGCATTGCTGGTCAGCTATTGCAGCAATTTTGGAGCCTTTTCATCTGATACTCAGGACAAGACACTAAGTTAAGGGTCAACACTGCTCATATCCATTGTCAAGTACGTCAGTTTTAGCAGGGGTGACCATTGCAGAGCACTCGCCGAACGGCATGGTGATCATTGATCAATTTGTCCTGCATGGAGTTTTGGATGGTCATTCGGCCCTTGCCGTGGAAAATGCACCAACCTTATAAAGTCCTTAGCGACTCAGCTAAGTCTGTACAGAGCTTGATGTGAGCTGCGCTGCTAATGCCCCCTGTTGTGGGATCAAGTATCATGCAGGCAAATGAGGCCGAGTATATATATATATGGTTCCTCTATATACGTAGAATTAGAAAGATCTATGACTCGGATCTCGCTTCTCCTTTTCCAGCCCCAAATCGCCCGGTCTGAACGGCCTGTGCCCCCAGTGTTGAAGATGAAGCGCTTAAGAAGGCTGGTCGGAGCTGATCAAAGTAGATGATGACCCGTGTGCTTTGGAACTTAGACGCACCAGGAGTGGGTCGGTCTAATATAGCTCCCCTGTTCTTGGGGTGGCCTGTGAAGAAGGCTTGCAGCTCATGCGTGTTAATGGCCGAACTCGTGCTCGCATGGCCTTTAGGCGTGGCAGGTGCGAAAGAAAGGGTCCGGCGGCTGCGACTCGGTTCTTTCGTGCTCCATGGGACTATCAGCTACTCAATACCTTGCGGACCCTCAGCTCTCGTGCGACATGTTGTCTGGAAGCAGAACTCCACTGAGGAAGCTGCAGAATTTCCCCGCCGTGGCCGCACTCCTGGCCTGTGCGGTGGCCGGGGCACCCAGCGGGCGCGACGGCCGGCAACAGGGCGACGCGTTGGACGCGTCGTTTCCTTCGCTGCACGAGGTGCCCAAGGGCCTGCACGAGGCGGTGGAGGAGGTGCGTCCTGTTTGGTGGCTTCGTGCAGGGCGGTTTGGGGAGCTCCTTTTTTGGGTGGCTGGAGATGGCTGGACATGGATGAAATGCGCAGGTGGCACACATTCACTTTCACTGGGCTTTCGGTTCACAGGGTTTTCGTATACACAAGAAGAGGTTGGCCCAGTGCATTTGGGCCAATTCATGAGACACAACATTACAAAAGACCACACATCCTCGCTCCATCGGGATTGGCTCGTGCACATCCTTCCTCCAGCTTGGCTCGAGCCGCGAGCGGACAAGAACCGCTGCGGTGCTTTTCGAAAAGTCGCGGCAGCGGAGGAGAGAGGCGCTGTTGGCCGCTGGGAAGCGTTGAGGGGTCATCAGTCCGCAGCAAAAAGATGCAAGAGGGCACCAGGTTTGGGAGGCGTGTTCATTCCCCCACAAAACAGGACTCAAAAGTGTCTCACTGTCTTTGCCGGACAAATTCAACTTATGCAGATTTTTGTAGGAAGTGTTAGCTTGGGATCAAGCCAGGAGATCTGGTGGATGTGGCCAATGCCCCCCAAAAGGCATTTGAGTTGTGCCGAGACCAGAAGAGGCTTATGAACCATATTCAGCTGATTCATCAAAGATTCATCAAAGATTCATCAAAGATTCATCAAGGATTCATCCGATGTTCTCGAAGCAAAAAGCCGCTCAGGGGTGATTGATTCCCCTTTTGACCAACAATAACAATCACCTTCATCAATCTTTTGTGCAGTGGTCGCTTGCTTTGTGCTTCCTTTGCGAAACCCTAAAGATTCAAGTCGCTTGCGCGACTTCTCTCACACCAAGTCATGATCGTTTGACTTCTCTCAAGTCATGGTCGTTGGTCCTTCGGTTTATACACTCCCTGGAATCATGGAAGTGAATGGCACCACCCATTTTTTTACTGTAAATGCGGAACATGGTCTTGCCAGGGGCCATACCACCATCCAAACGGTCATCACGATTGTTGGAGGGAGTGGAGAGGGCATCGAATTTTCATCCACATGTTCCTCCACCCATGCCTCGTACACACATCCCTCGTGCACACACGACCGTGGGTATGCTGGCTGCCATGCGTCGGCCTTGTCCAAACCGCAAAGCATTGTAAATTGTAACTGTACGCACTGGGGCATTTAGCATTTGGACTGGATGAATCAGAATCCAGAATCCATTTGAGTAGACTGGATGATTTGAATCCCTTTCACGACTTGCCATTGATTCTTCAGGAGCTCTTCTGGGTTTCTTTGCTACTTGCAGGTTGTCTCAAACAAACATATATTTGTACATCTACGATCTACAATCATTACAGTACCGTGCAGGTGAAGAACTTTCTGGTCATCTCTTGGAAGTCGGTAGCTTTACACCCCCTGGTGGCGCTTTCGTCCTTCGATTCGGGGCCACCTCTTCACTGCAGTGCAGCCGCAAGGCGCACTATGGGTTCCTGTGAGTCCTTCCTGTATGGCCCAGAGCCAGACTTTGTCAATGGAGCGAGCTTTTCCATGCATGGAGCGAGCTGGATGGCTTTGGTGATTTTTACGGGGAAGTTGGATGACTTTGGGGGTTGGTGGTGATTGGTGGTGGACCAGGCAGCTTTTGGGGGGAACGAAGAGGTGAAGAGGGAGACCAGAAGACAAGGAGGTTCTGGAAAAGGGAAGTGACGTGGTTGTTTTATTGTCCCGAAGGTTGGCTCCCAACATGAAGGGGATTGAATTGTTTCAACAAGTGGGTGCATTTCCGTGTTGCATCCTGCCGAATCCTTTTGCTTTTTTCATCACACGATTTGACACCGTGGCCATAAGGAATGGGCAGATCAAGAAGGGCATGCGAGTGTGCCGTGGCAAAAGGTCATTTTTGTTGAGGTCTTTGTGTCTTTCCAGCTTTCCAAGCACTGCCAAGGCAAACGCAATATACTATTGCCGAGGGCGGTGACGGCCGCTGGTATTCAGGAAGAGTTGGCAGGCAAGGACAGGTCCAACCAAACACCCGAGCCACAAGCAGGTCGCAGCCTTCTTTCGCCCAGCCACTCAAGGTCATTGTTGCACTCAAGAGACTTTTCTTATCCCAAAGACTGTCCCAAAAGGTGCAAGTTTCAGAGCAGAGGGGGACTTTCGAAGAAGACAACTCCTTTCTTTCCAAAGCACACCGCTGAGAAGCCCGACCCCAAAAAGGCTTTGAGTGTGCCTTCATGAGAGTGCCCCGGAAACAGTCTTTTTTGAAAGAAGCACTCGTGACTTGCTGTTGCTAGGTACTCTTTTGCCCCAGCCGATTCACATGCATAATGTTATCCGAAATAGTTGATGAATGCACTAGCAGGATGCTGAGAGAATCTATCAGACCCCCTAGGCGCATGGATGTGGCTGAAATACTAGCCCAGCCATCTGCAGGTTTGAGTCATGAGCCACCGCCAAATCTCATGGCTGTCTTTTTTGGAGGTTGTTCGGCAACAACCGTTGCAAGATCTACTATGACGATGGCCCGCTTCCCAGCACTTCGCCAGTCCTTGCGGGATGGCAGGAGTTGGAGTGGTGCCAAAAGCGTTTGGATCCCAAAGGGTCCCAGCATTATGGCATTCTTTTTTCGCGCGTGCGTTACTTCACGCGCGTACGTGTGAAGTCATACGTAGACAGCAGGAGCGTGATCGCGCCCGAGTTCATCCGATGTTCATGTCCATGTTTGCCAGGAACATGCTTCACAGAAGCATGGGTGCATATTGACACAAGATGATGAACATGCTTTCCATGGCTTCCACACCTTCTGCCAATGTCCATTTCCGGGGGCACCGCAACGACTTTCCGGCGGAGGCGACACGTGGACGGGCAATGCGCAGGAGGTTTGGTCGCTGGATGGGCCCCCGCCGGGCGCAGTCACCTGGTGCAGGAAGCCGAACATGAAAGGCAGGTGCGAAAACCATCTAATCGAACAACAGAATCATCCGAATCGAAGGAAGCCTTCCCCAGAAGTCTATGCAGTCACTTGGATTGAGAATGAATAACACAGGAAGTTCTATGAATCTCAAATACACCACCCAAGAAGCTTTCCCACACAGTCCCAATCAAAGACAGATTCACCTGTATTGGGGTTTCGTTTTGCCATAGTCTTGTAGGTTGGTTAGGTCGGCAAATCAACTTTCGTGCTGCCTCTGTTATACTCAAGCAGACAGGCAGCACATGCACAGTCAATTTGGGGACATAAGTGAACAGTAGAAACTTCAGGGTTCTATGTGCAGGCAACGACATGTACGGCCATATATGCAACATGGTTTTGCTTGGGTTTGGTCTATCACGGCACTAACCCCCAAGTCAGCTGATTTTCGGTCGATGTGACATGTCGTAACCTTGGTCGATGTGTTCAGGACAATGCCCCCACATGGGATCCTTCACTGGTCATTGGTCACATGATTTGTCACATGCACGTATGTGGGATGGGATCACTGCAATGAATGCGAACCAATTTGTGTTTCTTACATGGCTCTGAGGTGGCTCATACGGTTCAACCATGGGATACCCGCCAGGCACCCGCCTTGCAGGCTGGTCCCCAAGTGGGGCCGAAGCAATGATGTCCTTTCCAGGAAACAATCGAGGGGTTCTGTTCACTTGGGGGGTATCCCGGAATCCTCCCCCTAAAAAGCACACCAAAGCCTCTATGGGGCCCCGAAAACGCACCAGTTCGAGAGGTTCTCCTCTTGGTGCCTAGAGCCTAGGGCAACCATTTGTCTACTGTTCTTGAGAGCTGCCTCTGGCTCAGTGTGATTGAATTCCAACATGTCAGAAAAGATGAACATCATCTCATTTGTAACAGGCTGTAACTAAACTCAAGCACAAACTCTACTGTCAAAAGCTCAGCTTTCCTTTCTTCTTGTCTTGCCCCTTTGTATGAGGCTTCAAGTTCCAAATATCTCACCAACTGATTGTTATAGAGTAGAGATGGAAGGAGTGGGCAGTGGGTGAGAGGCACAGAAATAAAGGAGTTTTCCAACCCGCGAACCCCTGCAACCAAAAAGCGTGGACCCTCCAAACAGCCAATTGTAGCGTTTCGGAGAGTCATCCCACAGTCTTTGGTCTCGGTCTTGCTTTCGTTTTCCATCTGAGGCCGCTGCTGGAGTGCCAATGGGCATGCCGATGGGAGCTCCAGTGGTGCAAGGCCCAGGGGGCCCATGGTTCCGAAGAACGTCACGGGAAGCGAGAGGTTTTTTTGGGATTCGCATGCAAACCCTCCACATCTTGCGAAGTGATCCTGGATTGGATCCTGGATTTGGACACATGAACACAAGACCATTTTCTGGCTGGTTCCAGCATCGACATGTGGGACTGTGTGGGGGGGTCATGCGACGTGATTTATGAATTCCTGGAGGGGGAGAATCAGAGACTTCTTTGGTTGCTAAGAACAAGCACCTTCCTGTGAATGGGCTTGCTGTGTTGGTTTGGATGTTCCTAATTAGCTACTCAAAAGTCGATCCGCCTTAGCACCATGTCTTAGCACAGTGTGTCGCTGAGACCAGTCACTCGAGACCCTAATACCCTGGCTACATTTGGTGGCTTTGATGTTGTGTAAGGTTCCCTCAAGAACCAGGTGTGACATGTATCGAACCGGGTCGATCATCGATCCCCGGCCCGTCGATCATCGTGCCACAACCCATCGAACCGGTCTTTCGTGCTCAGCCATGGTGGTGAACACCGCACAGACGAAGCTTCAGCTACCGTGGCTTGGCTTCTTTTTGACCAGAGTCAGGGAGAGGTATCAAAAAAAAATTAATAAGCATCAAGAAAAAAATTGTTTGGTAACCGGTCCTCTAGTCCTTTCATCCTCTCTCTGGACCCTTGGTCCCCTGGTCCCTTGCTCCTCTGGTCCTTTGCCCGCTGGTCCTTTGGTCCTCTGGTCCCTTGGTCCCCTGGTCCCTTGGTCCTCTAGTCCTGTGGTCCTCTGGTCCCCTGGTCCCTGGGTCCTCTGGTCCTTTGGTTCTCCTGCTACATCCCTTTATCCTTCTGCTGCCGCCGCTGCTTTTGAAACATGCTGTCCATACTTGTTTGCGTTACGGGGGGGGCGCTGCGCCCTCCCCCGAACCCCCTCCCGCTTCTTTAATCCTCCAAGACAGCTCCAAGTCAAGCCCAAAGAAACGTTAAAGAAGCGAAGGCCCAAGCGAAGCTTAAAGTCCAAAGAACCCCCAAAGAAACGAAGCTCTAAGCCAAGCCCAAAGAAACCCTAAAGAAGTGAAGCCTCAAGCCAAGCACAAAGAAACCCTAAAGAAACGAAGCCCTCAACCAGGCCCAAAATAGAACCCTAAAGAAGAAAACCCAAAAGCGAAGCCGTGAGCAAAGCCTAAAGAAGCCTTAAACCCCTGATCCCTTGGTCCCTTTGACCTCTTGCTCCCTCTGTTGCTTCCTGAATGTCCTAGTCCCTTGAGCTTTACTGGTTTGCTGGTCCTAGTCTCTTGGTCCCCGGGTCCCTTCGTCTCTTTGGTCGTTCCATATCCTGGTGACCGCTCCAGATTGATATTGAATTATGTTTGGAAGGTACATTTTTTTTACGGAATGTGTTCATTTGTTTTTTGGTATGTTTTTTTTTTCGGATTCTGCTTTTGCAGCTTTTCTGTTTCTGCTGCGTTTTTGCTTTTGCATATGCTTCTGCTGTTTTTTCTCACTGTGCTGTGTTTTTTAAACTATGTTTTTGTGCTTTCCATTTTGTTTGTTCTTCTTTGCTTCTTCTATTCTTCTGCTTTGGCAACTGTTTTGCTTTTTGTTTTTGCTTACTTTTCTGGCTCTTGTTTCCCCTTCTGTGCATGTCTCGCCTTTCCTTGCGTCTCACCGCTTCATTGCTTTGTTACTTTTCCTGCTTTTCTGTGCGTGTGTTGCCTTTCCTTGCTTCTTACTGCTTCTTTTGTTTTTCTGCTGCTGGGTTGGTCTCTTTGTTCTTCTAATTATATAGTTCTTCTCTTTGGTACTACCACTACCACTACCACCACCACTACTAATACTACCACCGCTACTGCTACTGCTACTCCCACTACTACAACTCCTACTACTAATACATCTTCTGCTACTGCTACTGCTGCTACTGCTACTGCTACTATTGTTACTACTACTACTACTACTTCTTCTACTTCTACTACTACTACAACTACTACTTCTACTTCTACTTCTACCCATACTTCTACTTCTACTTCTACTTCTACCACCACCACCACCACTACCACTACTACTCCTACTACTACGACTACTACTACTACTGCTACTACTACTACTGCTACTACTGCTACTACTACTACTACTACTAGTACTAGTACTAGTACTACTACGACGACGACGACGACGACTACTACTACTACTACCACTACTACTACTGTGATATTTTGTTTGATCTAAATTATTTTTAAAATGATCTCCTCAAACAATTTTTTTTGATCCCTATCAATTTTTTTTGATCCTTCACCCCTCCTTGAAGGACGAATCGGATGAGTCTAGATGTTGGGGAAGAGACTGGATGGATGATGATGGATGGGTGGTGGATGATCCTAGCTTATCACCATGTTTCCTTGTTGCTTGAATCCACCATCGCTACTAGGGTGGAGGCCATTGCTAGTAGGTTGGAGGACATCGCTACTAGGTTGGAGGCCATCGCTACTAGGTTGGAGGCCGTTGCTAGTAGGTTGGAGGCCATCGCTACTAGGTTGGAGGCCATCGCTACTAGGTTGGAGGCCATCGCTAGTAGGGTGGAGGCCATCGCTTGAATCCTGGGTTATCTGGAAAGATTCTTTCGGTGTGGGGGATTCTTCAGGTGTTGCGAGCTAAGGCCTATCCCGCCGAGCACGCCTGCAGAAAACAACCCGGAGACCACCTGCCCAGCCGCTTGGGAGTAGTTTTTCAGTTGGGAGATAGGCTTTTCAGGTCGCCAAAAGGTTTTGCAGACCACCTGGTCCGGTTTTCGGGTTTTGGCACCTTTGGACGCCTAGAATTGAAAGCCATGGGTAGGTGAGCTGGCGAAAAGGTGAGCAGTGCCGCATCAACCACCGCTGCGGTGCTTAAGTGGCCCGCTGGTAGCCGCGCGGCGTGCAACGCCTGTACACGCGCGCGGCGTGTGAGGTGTGCCAAGCAAACAAGATGGACATGGTCTTACAGTGCGGGCATCGGCTTTGTGGCAAGTGCAGCTTGGAAGAATACCAGAGGCGGTCGTTCTGGCGGAGGAAGAACCTGTCGAGTCCGAAGACGGACTCGACAGCTGAGGAGCTGAAGAACCGGGTTAACCGAACATGAACAGAAGACGCCCCGAGACATGGTCAAACTACCCACAGCCATGGAGGAGTTTCCTTGGACCCTGAAGAGTGGCCCAAGTTGAAATGGCAATCCTAAAAAATTTTGGACCTCAGAGAAAAGGACATCTCCTGGCCTTACTACTAGGAGCAAGGACGCTACTAGGGCTCCTCGTCCTGGCCTTACTACTAGGAACAAGAAACTACTAGGAACAAAGGGTATCGCCACTAATGACCAAGCTTCCGGCCACGTGCGACTGGGGGGGGCGAATGGGTGCCCAGTGGGTCCCCGGGCCTCACCGTCAGTCGAGTCGGTGGGGACGCAGCGGCCTTGGTGATACAAGGCTTTTGGTGATGCTTTTTGGGCACCCCAAAATGATGGGATTGAGGTTTCAGGGGTTCACTTCCAGAGAAACAAAGAAAGCAAGTTCTACTGCGGTGCAGTTTCTTTTCTGCTGAGAAAGCTCTGCTCAGGCACCCAGGACATTTGTTCTCGGAACACTCAATGCCCAGTGTGTCGCGTGCAGATCACACAGGCAGGAGACTTCTTTTGGAAGAGGTGTACAACTCACAGATTTGATCACGAGTCCCGGTAGATAGTACTTTTCGACCAAACACTCAGTGACACCTTTTCGACGAAATGTCGGCCGCGGCAGGTGATCCGGATTTACAATTGACCGAGCACCAAAGCGCGTGGCTTTGCCGGCGGGGCTGGGGGGCTAAGGATCCCCCCAGCCCAAGCCAACTCGGGAAGATGACGCCAGCTTGGCGTTCCAGGTCTTTCCCCATGCGGAACGAAAACAGCTAGGCCTGGGCCCCATATGTCCATGAATATGAGAACAAGGGATTGGAGACCTGGGCAGTGAAGAAGGATTGTGCACTGAGGGAGACTGTACAGATGCAGTTCAGGCACCAAAGGTGCCTGTTGCACCCTCGATCCTCAGGTGAAAAAAGGTGCACGGAGTCAGTCTCAGCGATTCCGCGGGTCTTTGGGGCTTTCGACCTGGTGGTGCTCTGATGGCTGTCCTGGTGCTGTCAGGTCCTGCTGGAGCTGGCCTTAGGGGTGCTTCCCTAATTCATCATAATCATACGGAACTCAGCTCTCGAAGGTCTAGAAATTGTCCACCTCCCCCCAGAAGGCGAAGGACGCGGGCCATGTAGAGCCTTCAAATCCGCAGCGACGTTCCCTGTGACGGTGCCCGCAGAATCTCCTAATGGTTGACCTACACACCCGACCCAAGAGTGTCTGATACGTGTCACAAACAGCTGGCGCCAGGGTAAGAGAAAGGATGGCTATCTACAATCACTTCTGTAAAGCAGGTGTAGAAACCCTTGCTTACCATACCAACACATTCTAAGCATCCAACATAACCAGATGCAGGAGGCAAGTTGGGAGTGACCGGTTTGAAGGCATCAGCACTGCGCTGCACTTGGGGTTTGGCTTTCCGGCTCCTCAGGGAGCGCTCGACATCATGGACGCCCTCATCATCGCACAGGCGAATCCCTACATCAAGGACCGAGTCGGGCGCAGCGGGGAGTGAGGGCCGCCGGAACTGATTTGAAGGGTTCCCAACAGGTGCGGACTGCTGTGCGTCCAACACCGACGGTGGGCTGCAGTCGCCTTCCGTCCAGAGACATGTGTTCCATCGGACCCGACGGTGGGCTGCAGTCGCCTTCCGTCCAGAGACATGTGTTCCATCGGACTCCTAGCACTCCTCAACGGCTTCTCAACGGCTTCTCAACGGCACTTTGTGTACTAGCAGTTACTAGCCCGGCCAAGCCACAATGTACTAGCACTCTCTCGGATTGTGAATTTCCCAACTTTAGGACCTTTGATGGGTTGACTCCTTGATGGACTTGTTCTTTCTTCCTACTGTTCCATGTGGTTGCTGTGAGTTCTTAGTTCTTCATTGTTCCCCGTTAAGTACGGCGTGAGCCTGTGAGGCGTCGTTTCTCTCCGATGTCACCCATCGGCCAATGGACCCAAAGACTGATCATCAAACTCCAAGAAGTCTGAGCCTTCAGCAGTGGCACAGACCCCACAAGCTTTCAGCAAGTCAAGAGCTCATTTGAGGCTTTTGAGGCTTGAAGACGAGTCTCCTTTGGCCCGTGAGGATGACCAGGGCCGGACAGTCATGGATGTAGCCTTGGCCACCAACGACGAGGACGTGCGCGCGAGACCAGTCAGGATACAGGTCTTCCACAATTAAGCCTTAAGGGGCCTATGTCGGATTTCCATGAATTCCCCAAGAAGCATCTTATTCAGATCCATGGTCCTCGATTCGCCCACTAATCCAGACTCTTGATATCTCTTGATTATTTCTGAAACAATTAGAAACAATAAGCTATTAGTAACAAGTGCATCGCTTCTAGTAACAAGTGCCTCACTAGTAGTAACAAGAAGCTATTAGAAACAATAAGCTAAACATTTGGATCACAAAGACACTTTTCAGGCTCGAAGGGGTTGATGAATCAAGAGCCATCTTATGAGGCACTAGTTTCTTCATTAGTAACAAGAAGCTACTAGTAACAAGTGCATCGCTACTAGAAACAAGTGCCACGCTAGTAGTAACAAGTGCCTTACTAGTAGTAACAA